CTACTCCTTTCCTCACTTTATCGTTTCCCGAGGGGTAACTCCAAGGTCTGTCCTTGATACGTTGAAACACATAATCTTCAGAGTATCATTTCCTTTGCGGCTTAACTAGTATCGTATTTATTGCCATCTCCCTTAACCGCCACCTCAGGCAATAACTCGTTTCCCACACTAGCCATTCCAAAATCTTGCTGTCACCTTTCCCTATCTCAGAGCTAGCTACCAGAGGGCTTGCCTACCTGTGCCTACAAGAGCACGATCTTGGTACTCATACACCTCCTCCTTCGTCCCCACACACTATAGGTCACTCTCTGTCTCTTCTTGATTCAAATAAATTCTTTGAATCTAAATAATTTCAATCCAAATAAATTGAACACAGGCATGTTCATCCCTATATGAAAATGACTAAATGAACTTTCCAGAGCAATCTGACAACCAGGGTGGACACACTGATTACATATATGGGATACCTGACCAAACTGCTGCCCTCCCCTTGACTGCAAACCTCCATCCAACACCACCTCTGCCTGATACTGAAGTTAGCCATGCTTGTAAATCTTTCTGTCCCCTGACTAGGGGCCTTCTACTTTTCTTCACCAGTGGGTCTGAAGTTCTATCTTACTCATATTTGTTAAGTCTGTTTTCTGTATGAGGGCCATATTGGTTGAAGAAAAAAGAACTTGTTACCTAGTTTTCCCTTCTGAAGCAATCGAGACTTTGACCAGATTAAAACACCACTGAAGAATTTTAAGCAAGTGGGTACGATAAGACATGCATTTTTCTAAATGTTTCCTATCTATGGTGGATCCAAATGGTGCAAAAATGGATGAGATCAGATAAGACACTGCAGGACTGTAAGAGAGATGTTTTAACTAGGGTGTGTGGAAACAAAGCAGAGAACAAATCAAAGAGCTTATTTGAAGGTAAAATAGAATTAGTGATCAGTCAGGCTAGGGGTAAGGGAAAAGTCCTCAAGAAAATTACTAGGCTCCAGGACTAATGGCTTCTTCATGAAAAGGCTCTGTCTGCTAAACAGCATGAAGAGTAAAGAGATGGGACCTCTAAAAGGAAGGGCAGAACCTAGAAGAGATAGGCAAGAAACCCAAAGAAGGGTTTACCCAATCGTTATTAGCTGGATGTGGTGGTACATGCGTGTAATCCCAGAACTCTGGGAGGCTGAGGCAGGATCACAAATTTAAACCACGGACAATTTAGAACTACAAAATTTATCTTCATCATTAATACTCTAGGTGTTACCGTGTTCCCTTGTCCTTCATGTTTTCATAATTATCTGAAATCAAGTGAACATTCAAGGGACAAGGAAAATTTAAGCAAAAAATAATTCTATTTTGCTGAGTTTAAAAATTTATTTTGGTAAAAACTTTGAAACTAATCAACGAGAGAAGTTTTTACCCCTCCCCCCCATAACATTTCACTTCAGGTGAACACCTCCTTTGTTGGAGATGCAAGAGATTAGAAATCTTGAAAAGGTGTGTGTGTGTGTGTGTATGGAGTGCATATGACTGGCCTGACACATGAAGTTGGGTTATGAATTTTAGCTTTAACTTATGACTAATCTTGAGTTACAACCTGAATGCCAGCCCCTTGTGTTTCCAGATGTTCTCAGATACAGATTTAACACTTAAAGTGTTCTAGATGGAACATTACATCCTTTTTCCTATGTGGGGTTGAGAAATTCTGAGGCAATGTCTAAGGACACTGAGATCTGCCTGTATAAAAGAGACTTTGAAGGCTGTGTGCCTTAGCCTTCAATTGATTGACTTGAGTTACAACCAGCCCTTGAAGACAAAGTGAGTTTGTAAGTCAAGGGTCCACTGTATACATATGGATCAGTCTGCTGTTCCTAAAGTTGACTTTTTTTTAACTTTTGCAATACTGAGGATTGAAGCAAGTTTCTGCACGCTAGGCAAGCATTCTACTCCTCAGCTGCATTTGCATTTTTTATTTTTAGAAAAATCTCAGTAAGTTGCCCATGCTGCCCTTAAACTTGTGATCTTTTTTGCCTGTCTCCTGAGTAGTTGATATTACATGCACTATGTCTAGCTTCTTACTGACCAATTTTAAGACAAGGTACCAAAAACTACTGGTCTTAGTGTTTATTTGCCTTAAGTCACGTGGAAAACAAAGGTTTTGTTGGTATTAGAAATCCATCTGCTTCTTACCCTTTTTTTACATTATATTGCTTTCCTCAAGTCATTTCTTGCCTGTACATACCTGTAGAGCACAGATCACACTGCCTACTCTTACTGGGATTAAAAAAAAAAAATTTAGGATTTTGTGGAAATGTCTTGAGAAACTTGACAAGCAGGAAGAGGAGGCTGAACAGTAGGCCTCTGAACACAGCCCTGCTTCAACTAAAAATAAATGGGACAGCTGTTATCAGTCTTAAATATTTGGGCTTTATACTTCTGCTAGACTTTCTCTGTAAATCTGATTCTGCTGTTCAGTTTGAAAACCACTGTACTTGATTAAGGATTAGGGTATGGTTACTTCACAACAGTTCAGAGGCTCACAGACCTAAACCTGGGATATATGACCCAAAGCATCACGGTATCTGGAGCCCAGAATGATCATAAACTATTAGTTTGGAGATTGTGGGCAAACAATCAGCTACTTAAGTCATTTGTCTACTAAAATAAGGTACTATGGTTTCTGAATCATAGCTGCTGTGGGGAAAATAGGGCCAATGCACAAAAGCTTATGCACTTCTCTTTAGTCATATTAAAAATGGAATTGTGTAAGTGGTCTCCAGAGATGAAATATTTTGATGTTCAATCTCCTCAGAACTGCTTTGCTACATAAGATTAATATATTTCTGCTCTGACAGCTCCCCAGTGGAGTGTAGACTTCAAAAATATCAAGCACTAACATGAAGGTGTGATATAGTATCTTATATGGAAGAGTATCAGACCACTTTTTTCTTTTTAAAAATTTTGTATAACTCATAGCATGTGAAAAAATGGAGTGCTCTTGGGGCCAGGGATTTAGCTCAGTGGTGCTGCCACCTGCCTTACAAGTGCAAGGTCCTGAATTTGATCCCCAGTACCAAACAAAGAAACAAAAGTGGAGTGCTCTTAATTAACTGCTTTTAAAAAATTCTGTTTAGAGCCTCAAACTCAGATTCATGTATTAATTCTTTGTTAGGTCAAAAGAGCACTGCCTCTATATACCAAATATGCTACTCACATTAGCTTAGTAACCAACTAAGATTCCCTGGTACATTTCCTTGGTCTAGCTGTAAGCCCAGTGTAAACCAAAGATCATCCATCTCTAATTCAGGTGCCACCAAAAGGTATTAAATATATGCCAGTTTTGAACTTAAGAATCTTCCTGACATGTCAATATGTCACTTTTAGCTTATTTACTGAAGAAAAAAAATGGATTGTGAGCATTAACTGTCATTAAATCCAGTCAAGTACAATGGTCTATTCCTGTAATCCCAGCTATTTGGAAGGCTGAGGCAGGAGGATTAAAAGTTCAAGGCCAGCCTACTCAACTTTACTGAGACTTTGTGTCAAAATTAAAAAGGCTAGGGATGTAGCTCATGGACAGAGTGTTTACCTAGGAAGTGCTAGGCCCTAGGTTCAATCCTCAGTACAAGAAAGAAAGAGAGAGGGGCTGGGGATTTAGCTCAGTGGTTCGGTGGCCTGCCTTGCAAGCACAAGGACCTGAGTTCAATCCCCAGTACCCAAAAAAAAAGAAGTGAGAAAGAAGGAAGAAATCTATGCATGAGCAGTTCTACAGCAAAGAACAAAAATAGATGTTTATACACAAAATATATTAATACAACTGACACGTACATATTTATACTAAGATACAAAACAAATGCTTGTCTAGGAAATTCAACTTTATTTATAAAAGTTCTATAAACAAAAACATTCTATTTTTAAGTACTGTAACTGATAATTTTCACAAAAACCATTTACAATTTAACTTTTCTACATAAAACTATAGTACGGGACAAGAAAAACCCTTACAAGATGGTCTAAGACATAAAACAAAACAAAATAAAAATAACTTATCTAGCATGAATACTTATTTACAGAATACAGAATTAGAATCATGATTTTAATGTGCTAGACTATTAAGAAAAGGAAGCATAGGGTCAGGGATTTAGCTCAGCAGCACAGCACATGCCTGGCAAGTTCAAAGTCTTGAGATCGATCCCGGTACAGAAAAAAGAAAAAGGTAGCATAATAATGCTTCACAATAAACAGTCATCTTAAATAGTATAGTTTAATTGTGATTGTTCAAGATTTCTCTTGTAGGCTAATATTTATGCTTACTTATTAAATAAATCATTGTAAAAAGGGCACAGACTTTTTCTATAGTTCTACCAATGAAAACATGTAGATGTTGAGCTGGTCTCATTTAGCTAATTAATTAAGTGACAAATGTATAATAAAGAACTAAAAAAAATCATGTGACTTACAAAATCACAATTCTCCCTGAAATTGTCCCTTTCAGTATCTATAAATTTGAGTTCCTCACAGCACAGCAGAGTTCAATATTCAGACTACATATTTATTTATTTATTTATTTATTTATTGTTTTTTGGTACCGGGGATCGAACTCGGGACCTTCTGCTTACAAGGCAGGCAGCAGAACCACTGAGCTAAATCCCCAGCCCCAAACCAAATATTTAAACAAGGAGTTAAAAATTATCCAAATTATCTATTTACCATTTATATGTAAAAATTATTTTTAAAAAAATCTTATAAATTTTGTCTAGGAGGATAATGATTCTCATGTCATGGCTAAGTCACAAGGAATTTCAAAACTTTGGGAAAAAATTCATCCCTGAGAAGTGAGAGATAGAAAAATACCTGAAAACAAAACAAACAACCACCCTCCAAAAAAAACAGCAGCAACAGTCCTATACCCTTTTCACAATCTATGATAGCATACCATAGCATGAACTATTATTAACAGCTCGCAATCAAACACAGTCAAATCCTGGAGAGCTGATGGCTCTGTTGATCTTATCTTTTTGTAATGAAACTACAAATGCAACATTAAAAATAAATCGGTCAAATAAAAACTCTAGTTTTATTGACAACTTTACATTTTTTCAAGTGCAAGGTTGGCCTGCTAAGAGCTGAATATTTCAATAATGACCAAGGCAGTAACTTCTGCTGGCATCTCTTCTTATAAGACTCTGTTTCTTCCACTGATGTTCACCCAAATAGTAAGAGCAATACAATAGTAATTGAGTTTACTATTATCAATGGCACTGCAAAGAGATGGGGGGGAAAGTTATTATAAATAAAAATCAAGAAAAAAATTAAGCAATAACCATTATCCAGGAAAGATGAAAAAGGTCTAACAATATATCATAATTATATTGTAAATAGTTATAATAGAGGAATATTAATAAAATTCTCTGTATCATAAAACCCATAAGTTATTTAAAGGGAGTCTGTGTAACGGGGAATAAGGGAACATGCTGCACAAATGGATCAACATGAAATGCCCTGAGGATGCAACTCTGTGAACACAAAAGCACACTAGACGTGGGCAGTAGCTCCACAGGGCTGCAATGAAATATGAGATAAGAAATACAATGTACAGAAGATTCTGTAGATTAATTGCTAAATTAAGAATGAATTTACCAACACTGAATCCAAAGTTATGATTAAAACGGCTTAAAAGAGAGAAAAAAGGCCTCAAATTTAATTTTTAAATATGATGCATTTCAATTCTTATCTGTTTGAAAGTATTTTCCAATAGAATGGCAGATATGGGACTTTGAAAGCAGGGATGTTACTCTATTTTCCAGCTCTGACAGGTAATACCTGTCATAGATTATATATAGAGAATTAATTATTACATTTACAGCAACTGGCTTAGCAAGAGTGGCAACCTAAGAAACCAGTAACTTTCAAGCAGTAAAGCCAGGTTAGGGAGAAAGAAATTCCTACCACAAAAAGCATATATTATAGCACTCACACTCTGAAGCCTTGTTATTTAAATCAAACTACAAAATTAAAACTTAAGTGGGCTCTGCAAGTTTTTCTTACCTCTCATCACAGTTCTTACAGATCGAACAAGGTTCATTAGCTGAGATTTAATTCCTGGCTCCTCTCCGAATCCACCAATTCCCTGGTCTGTTCCCCAGCCAACTGTATAATATAAAGATGATTAGCTGTGTTAAAATTTACTATGCACTCCCCTTACTTCTTCATTAGTCATCTTTTAAAAAATTAGTTTGAGGCCTTGTTAAAGATGAAATATAAAATCAGATGTCTTTGATATTGAGCTAAATATTTTAATTTTATTTCTTTTTATAGTAGCAACAACCACATTTTACCTCATTTATACTTTGATTTTATAAAATAATCTATAACACAGGGATGGGAATGTAGCTTAGTAAAAGAACATTGTCTAACATGCTCCAAGCTTTGGATTCAGTCCTCAGCATCACAAAAGAATAATGATGCTAATAGTAGTAATAGAAACAAAATAATATAACCCAATTTCTCAGGTCAGAACTGACAAGAAAATCATAGTGTCAAACTAAGCAATAATTAAGAATTTACCGAATCCAACCTAATTTTCAGTATAAAAATTTTGGAGCTAAGAAATCACTTTATTTTACTATGTGAGTAAATTTTAATATATGCTAGTCATAGGTTGGTTAGACTTTCATAGCATGCTCTAGTCCGCTAGTAGGACACATCTTTTTCTTCTTTTTCCTTGATTCTTCCTCTTTATGTCTTCATTGTGAGGAAATGAGAAAATTTAATGGTACAATCTTCGAAACTCAGTCTAGAGTTTGACACAAAACCCACAAACCATAAAAAGAAGAACTACTGTGGGACACTGAGGCAGGAGGACTGCAAGTTCTAGCCCTGCCAGAGAAACTTTAACAGCTTAATGAGACCTTGTCTTTATTAAAAACAAAACAAAAAACAAAAACAACAACAACAAAACAATTAAAGGGCTAGGAATGAAGTTCAGTGCAAAGGCCTTGGGTTCAATCCCTATAAAACAATCTGGGATGGGAGGTAGACTTCTATTTTATGACCTGCTAATATTTTTTACTTTGAAAATCATGCATATTTCTTTGGTAAAAAATAAAAATTAAAATTAAAAAGAAGGCCTGTGAACTTAATTATCTACTGGAGAAAGAAGCCCTCTACAACTAGGACCTCCTCAGAGAAACAAAACACCTTAAAGGCAGGGATAAGTTCTGTTAAGTGGAAGAGCTTCATCCATACATCACTAGAAATATTTAAAAACTATGTTTTTAAACTATTTTAAATGCTACTATTGGTTTCATTTTCTTTACTTGCATTTTTGAAGTTTATCATTGATAAAATGATCAATTCTTTCTACTCAAAGCATAATTTCTCAAATAGTAAAAAGGAATTGTTTTAATAACTATATGAAACATACATGCACCCAATTTTTATTAGAAAATAAAATTCCCAGCAATCTTTTTCCTTTTAAATGTTTTAAAAAGATGTATAAACAGTTTTTACCATGATGAGTGACTCCCAGAAACTGTATGTATTCTAATTAAACTGCTCTTCAATATAACAAAATTACAAGTACCATAATTTAAGCATCAGCACTGAAGTAATTAAAACAAATGGTAAGTTATCACTTAATTGTAGCCCAGTCTCTTTTTATTCCACTACAATGAAAAAGCAAAAAATTTTCAGTGGAGAATAAAACATTTGTCCAGATAGTTCAGAGAAATATAAATGTGGCAAGTAAAATATCAAATGCCAGGGATTATCTTTTACTATAACAAATAGATTTCCCTCAGTAGCTACATAGGGAATCTCAGTTGTTTTACTCAAGAACCTGGCCAAAACTTTATGAAGTTTTGCTTTTTGGGGGGGTAAAGAGAAAGATATAATGCCATGGCTTTCTTGTCACTTCCAAAGCTACAGGGCTTAACAAATGACACCAGCCAGCAACAGTCCCTGTCATAATTCCAGACATGAGTGTAAACAGATAGTTATTAAGTGAAAATATTGTACATCTTTTTCTGCTATCTAGACTTCAAAGAAACGCATAAAACAGCAATTTTACCTAGGCTCAGTCCAAAACCCTCAACTGGATACATTCTGAAGAGAAAGTATTGGCTACAGTTTTAAGGACAACCTTATCCTGAACAAAACTCAGCTTTTGTAAAATAAATTTCCATATATGTAAAAGAGAATGCAAGTAATTTATCAACGTCATCAAGTTTGCATGTGAATCAAATCCTACCATGAATGTGAAAATACCTAATAATTTGCACCAAAAACTCTGCTAAGCAAAGTTTTAAAAACTGCTTTCATTAAATAGAAAAAAGATAATGTAATTCATCTGGTAAAGGCTAACAACTCTTAGTTCTACATAATTCCCAGTCAGTAAGATTTCCATTTAATCCCTGATGAAATTCAACAAATGCTTTTTATGAATATATACTTAAAAAGAAAAGTATCCATATAAAAACATTCCTCAGAGTTTTATAAACCGCCACGACTGAACTTTGTCTTCCTTCTATGGGATGCCTTGCTCCTTTTTACATTTATACAAACCAAACTTACTAAGATCCACTCCTTCCAGAATTCTCCCACTATAACTCTTGGTCACAGAACTCTTATTATTCTAAACTCAAAAAATATTACATTGATCTGAAGCAGTCACTTAAACCTTGAATCCAATAACAGCTCAAATATTTTAAGTGTTTGTTATACACTGAATCATGTGTCTACCCATTCCTATGTTGAAACTCTAATCCCATGTGACTGCACCTGGAGATAGGGTCCTCAGCAAGTAATATAAGGCTAAGTGAGGTTATAGGGATGAGGTCTTAGTCTAATGAGACTGCAATTTTACAAGAGAAAAGAGCTCTCTACCATGTGGGAGCTGACTACAAGCTAGGAAGAAGGCCCTCACCAGAACTGGACCATGTTAGCATCCTGATATTGAACTAAGGAGCCTCCAGAGTTATGAAAAATAAATTTCTGTTGTTTATGCTACCCAGACTGCAATTCTGTGTTATGGCAGGTAGACCTAACCAGTCCATTTGCTTGTTTCTTTTTTTTTTTTTTTTTT